CTCTAAGTGTAGCCCTGTGATAGACTGGTTACCTGTCCAGGTGAACCTGCCTTCACCCTGAGTCAGCTGGGATAGGCTCCGCCCCCCATGACCCCAGTGAGGATTAAGCGGTGTGTAGATAATGGATGGATGGATGTTTTCTTTTAACCAGTCTTTTGTGATACCGGATGTGAGCTTTGGGTCGTTGTCCTGCTGAAAGACCCACAGCTTGTACCTCAAAGCCAGTCTTCTGACATTGGGTAAAGCATTTCCCTTTGTTCTCCTCAGTCTTCATGCATGCACCACTACTGCAGTGTGTGGTATGAGCTAAAACCACGGCTCCTGTTGCTCAGTCCAGCCTGAAGCTTGTAGACGACAGTGGATTTCCTGACAACATTAGAATACGTTGAAAAAGAGATTTCAAGATCTTTGACAAATGCTTTGCAGTTTTTGGAGTGGCCAGGCCTTCTCAGACAGACGTCTTGTCGAGGCCAAAAGAGAAATTGGAAACAATCAGCCCCCTAATGTAGTCAACACATCATTTATTGGTTAATCCTGCTCATGTTAAGTTTTAGAAGCTAATTTAAATTCATCAGAAAGATGGCACTGGCTGTGTCCAGTATACATTTAATATATGCATTTCTTAGTCTTGTTCTTGTCCAATAACTTTGGACATCTTATTGATGGTTAGTAATTACAGAAAACTGCTTAATTTGCATTTATTTATGAAAAGCTTCTGATGTGTGCACTTAAATTCACAGGTGCCAATTGTTCTGACCAGGACATTGATTCATTTTCTGGAAACCATCCAACCTTGAACCCTAATCCTACCTGAAACCGAGCCATGAACCAAACCTTTGTACCAGAATTTAATGACATCCAGTAGGAGACCTGTATCATGTCTCCAAAGAGACTGGAGGGTCCCCACAGCGTGACAGATTGATGGAGCAACAACGTGCTGCACACGCATGCAGTAAACACAGATAAAGAATACCCACCTATGGACGGTGCCTGGTAGTTGTCTCCATCCAGGATCTCCACAGCATCGTGTGAGCAGTTGGAGAAGACCATGTCTAACTCAAAGTCAGTGAATGACAGAGTCACATGGTTGACTAGCCACAAAGGAAAAGTCATCGGTTAGTCGTCCAGAACATTTCATGCACAGCAACATGTGAAGAACAAAAAGGTTTTTGTGGTGTGATGGCAGCTCACATGGTTCCTGTGCTCTGATGATCCAGCTACAGTTCTGATTGGGTGGGTATGCTGCTGGGTACCGCGGTGATGCAATGGCTCCACCATCATCGTCTGCCACAATAGTGGTTCCACAAGCTGTAAGACAAATGAGGTTCTGGTGTGCATTGTTGGTCTACGGTCACCACAAGGTGCAGGTTGAGGTGACTGCTACACCTACGATGGAACACAGGCTGACTACAGGTAAGAACTTAATGAGAATCATGTAGACTGAATGAAGCAGAAATACTTCTTAATGGGGAAATAGCTGGCTGTGCTTAGTCCTGATTTATTGTTATGTTAACTGACTGCTTTGTAAATGTAGGAACCAAACATGTGCAGTGCAGCTGCAGGCTGTAGCAGACTGTGTTCAAATGTCACGTTTATCACAACATCCCAGTCTGTTCATGTCTAGTTTGATGATCAAAGACAGGGTTTGAATGAACCATACTATTATGTAAATGATACGTCTACACTGTGAATAGTGGAGGAGTGTTAATGTGGTTTGTTTATGACAGTCACCTAAAGTGCTCTGTGGACATGGGTCTAATGCTCCGACTCTAAATCAGATCTTAGTCATTAAAGGACCGTCTATGTTTCTTTTGTGCACTTCACAGTTCATTGGTACGCATCCTCTTCATGCCTGGACTGATAAAACTAGAGCATGGTACACGTGAGTATTAAAAGGGAGTCATGGATTAAGGACAGAGGAACACATTGAACTTTACAGTCGTGTTCAGCTGACTGAAGCAAGGAGGTTAAAGAAGACTCACCCTCAGAGAAACGAGCACTGAATCCACGACGGTTGTTGGTACCGTCTGACCTAAAGCGAACGTAGATGGTGTTCTGGGTCGAGGTGACGGAGAGAGGAACACTGCTGCCACACACATGGGCAAGTATGGGCGCCGATGCTGTTGGACCATCATAGATCTACACAGATACGTATTAGTCTTAGTAACACTACGCAGGTCTTACAATCAAAAGCTGTGTTTCTATGCTGCACTTTGGAAGCAATGCCTGCTGACTACCTCCATGTGGCACAGTGGACTTGATAACAAGCTCACTGTCTCGTTTCTAAGTTGAACAGTTAGAGGCAGTTTCATGGCAAGCTTCGGCCGTTACTCAGCCAAAGCAGGACACTTGCTTGGTGAAAGCATTCCCGCTCACTAGACAGGCTGCCTCCACTCCACCGTATGCTGGGAGCCCCACTAGTTAACAAGCTCCACCTTACCTACATGCTGGGACTCTCATTTCAAAAACCCAATCAAATAGAGGCTGGAAGGTGAGGGACACAGAGATGCTTTGACTCAATGCCCTTGAATCTGTTCGGTTTTTGTCTATAAAACTACCACCAGTGGCTGATGACCTGTTCTTTATGATAAAACAGAAACTACAATGTAATGTCATATTTCTAGATTATGACGTAATGTTTTTCATCCCCAAATAAAAGCTGAGCACCATTGTTGAAGACAAGCACATTGATAAATGAGTTACCGACTGTTCTGGTCTTTGTCAGTAACCTGTAGCTTCTGGAGAGCTGCTGCTTCAGTAGATTTATGTGAGTGACCTGGACAAGCAACCTGCATTTAGTAACACTAGGGCTTCTTTGTCATGGTATCTGACATTGGCAGGTGTTGGATTTGTGAACTAAACCTAAAACAGTCACTTACTGCTATGTAGTCGAAGGAGCAGTTGCTGTGATATTCAACGTCCAGGTCTGTGAAGTTCAGGAAGACCCGATGGCTGTGATCCACCATGATGACCCACGAACAGTCCACGTTGTTGGGATAGCTGTTAGGGTACGAAGGAGAGTGGATCTCTCCTGATGGAGCTGTGACGGGACCTCCGCAGCCTGCAGGAACAAAGACAGTCGACTCGAGGTTACTAGGACTGACAGCCGTACGCCTCGTCTTTGTTGTGTTGCCACTGGTGACGGTGGTGGCGGTATCCTGAGCTATTAGTACATGCCTGCAGAAACACTACAGCGTCAATTTGCCTTTAAAAGACAGATCATGCTTTCTTCTTCTTTTTTGTTAAATGTCAGACGTTCATGTTACCCCTCTGCCCCCCTACGGTGCCGATGCAGTCCCTGTGTGGTACTTTATGGTAAAGTGGCCAGAGGTATAACCCTAACTCACCTCCTGGGGCTTCAGCCCAGCTTGCATTGAATCCTCGACCGCTGACGTAGGCGTCAGACTTGAAGCGCACTGTGAGCTGGTTGCCAGTGCTGGAGACCTGCATCGGGTTGGATGTGGTGCTGCAGAGTTTTGCTAGCTGAGGGGCTGATGTGTCCGGACCTCCATACACCTAAGGGAAGGTCAACAGTCGTGGTCAGAAGGCCGTGGCCAAAGATGCTCACTTGATTTTATTAAGGTCATAACAAATGTATTCTGAAGGATGTGTTTCTCGAGGCAGGTGCGTAGGAGAGTCAGACATGTATTCAAGCAACACTTGGCCTCCATCAGGCAGACGACAGCGTGAAACTAATAAAACATGTACGAAGAGCTGGACTCAAAACAAAACATCTCTTCTTTAAATCAACCTAATGGCATCAGCTGGACTACCAGGTCGTGGTTCGGTTCTAAGTTGACTACATGAGATCCACCAATTTGGGTTTTTACTCATTTGGTGGAAGCTCGTTACGGTATTTTTATGTGTCACGTTCTTTTCTGCTGTTTCCTGGATCCAGGTCTTGGTGAAGACTCTCATTGTGCTCCATCATGTACATTTCATGTGAGTCCCAGAAATGCATAACTACACAAATGAAATGTGAACGTCTGACTCCCAGCAGCAGTGCTGCAAAAATCCGCTTCATCAGGACAACGCAGTTTTCATGAATGATGCTCCAGACATCAGGACAAAAGAGTGTTTTTAGCCAAAACCTACAACGAGAAATGTATCTTACTGCTAGAACGTCATAGTTGCAGTCCTGGTGAAACTCCACATCAAACTCATGGATAGTCAGGGTGATGCTGCTGCCCGGCGATGTGACGATGTACCAGAAACACTCTCTGTTTTCTGGATACCGGTCTGGGTAGCCTGGGCTGCTGAGGGAGCCGCTGGGGCCAGAGAGGTCCCCGCCACAACCTGCACAGACACATGGAGTCAATAATGACCTGCTGAACTGTCCCACTGGATGTGCAAAGACGTTTTCCAAACCTGACTATATATATTTAGGCGGGGATGGGCTCCAGCCTCCCTGCGGGCTTAGTGAGAATTAAGCGGTGTACAGACAATGGATGGACAATACTTCTAATAGTAATGGTCAAGAACTGCTGAGCATTTAAAGTGGACATCACAGCTCATTTTCGGAAAAATGGTCATTTTTGTTGAGGTTATTGAGAGCGGATATGAAAGGCTGTATGTAGAATCTGATCAGAGAATGAAGCTTCACCAAAGTCATGCTATGCAGACCATATTTCTGCAAGCACTGTTTGGGAGGGGTGTGAAATGCAACCAAGACGAGCAGCCGTCCTGCTCGGGGAGCCTGCTCTCACTCCACCCTGTGGAGCAAACATGAGCCCATTTTCAGATGCTGGGTACCTCTAGGATGCTTTTCAATGTGCAGAGTGGTCCAATAAGCCTTCAGTCCCAAGCCATCTGCTCTCATGTGTTTGACCTCCTACTTCACTGTTGTCTTGTAATGCTGGCACTTGCAAACTCAAATGATCGGATTACATCGGCTTTGCTGTTTTCCTGAGCGTTAGTCGCTGTACACCTGCCACCTGGAAAAACCCGCAGAACAATCTAAAGCTTCACTCGTTTCAATCATTTTATTTTTGGGGCAATTTAGGTTTTAAATGTCTTATTTTGTCTCCAGTTGTTCTGGATTCAGTTGATTACACCAATTTCTCTGAGGTTTACACCGACGGGATCAATAAAGTTTTATTCTATTCTATTTGTTTGGAGGCTTCAAAGCTGTAACTATCTGTAATGGTTGTGTTATTTTACTACTTTTGCCTTCAGTAACTTCATATTCGTTGTTATCTCAGTTGCTTCTTCGTGCTCCTACATCTTTATTTTCTCACCCAGCTGTGTAGTGAATGAGGCCTCAGTCCCTTAATGTATTCAGCCAACAGTTAACTGTGACGAGCAACTGGCTGATGAAGGACCACTGGGACTGAAAAGATCCTCAGATAAGTCAAAAATAAATGAACAAGTATAGTTTTTTATTTGATGCAACAGAAATGTGATAAAGCACTACAGCTGTCCAAACCAATACCCAAAAACAGTGAGACCTCCTGCAACCGCAGAAACTGATCCTGAGCTATTTTATTAGGACATAACCATCAGAAACACACCCACAGTCTGCAGATGTGTCACAATGAGCCCGGCTGTCTGGCGTCATCATGCACTATTCCATCTGCCTGAAAGGTTTATGTTCTCAGATCAGTGTTTATGAATCAGAAGTACTTTGGTCCTTGAGCTTGTGAGAAATGAGGCGTAAAGTAAGTCGACCGCTGCAGAACGTACAGACCTCAACCAAATCTACGGTTTTGTTCAATTTTAATTTTGGTTTCAAATTAAATCTGAAACAAAAAACATTAAATAAGAGATTCAAAATGCTATCTAAACCTCTAAACCTGCTCATTTTAACCTTTAGAGCTGGTAATTATTGTTATTTACACGTTAAAAATACAGATTTCTAAACATGATTATGTTTGTACCATGTAGGTTTACTTCACTGTGAAAATAAAAAATGTTAATAACGTGGTCAGTACTGCTCAGTGACGTCATGTGACATGTGTATAGAACTAAGAACAACACAGGCCTCAGCTGATAACTTCATGTCCGTGTTGCTGACAGAAGATTTTCTCACTGGACAGTTTGAATTCTAAAATCTTCGACAGTAAGATCTGTTGGTCCGGCTCGTCTGGCCTCTCCCTCTTACCGTTCTGGTACCACATCATCTGAAAGCCAGACATGGAAAAATGGGAGTCCGTGTGGAACACCAGCGTGAGGGCGGAGCCTGTGCTGCTATTGGCTGGTGGTGGCGTGAATCCACAGAATGTACCAATCAGAGGAGCCTGCTGGTTGGGCCCATCATAGAGCTAGGACGGGAACATTTGGAGAAAGATGTATGAGTAGAGAGTAAAGTCACTTCAAGTATGACAAGAAACATGATGAAGAACACGAGTGTGCAAACAACTATTTGGTCAAAATGTTTGTTCTCCTGAGTTAACGTCTCTTTGTTGGTTCATAATGGCACATTCAGGCTCTGCTGTTTAACTTCAGTTTGGGTAAACAACAAGAAGCTGGACAGGTGACCAAATCTGTCCAAAGCCAGAACATATCTAAAGACAGCAGGCTTGCTGTCAGTCCAGGTCAGTCCTTGGTGCTGGCAGGCGGTGTGCAGCTGCCTACCTTGACGTAGTCGTAGGTACAGTTGGCGGACACAGGCTCCAGCTGGAAGGCAGTAAAGGTGAAGTTGATGGTGTTTCCACTGCTGGCCTGGATGGTCCAGCTGCACTGGGAGTAGTCTGGGTAGTCGTTAGGGAAGTTGGGTGACTCCACCACGCCGTTGTGCCGGCCTGAGATCAGGATGCCGAGGCATTCTAGGAGCAGATGGAACCACACGCTCACGAACAGCACAGTGAGAAAAAACGTAAAGCAAGCTCACATCTCAGTTGCAATCTGACAACATCTGCTGTGTGTGTGTTCCTACTGGAGATGTACGAAGCGACGAAGCCTCCAGTGCTGACGGTGCTGTCTGTGCGGAGCTTGAGGTAGAGCTGATGGCCAGAGGAGCTGATGGCAGCGGGCAGCTGGTTGCCGCACAGCGTGGCCAGGCCTGGAGCGCTGCTGCTGTCGCCGTCATACACCTGAACAGACACACACAGGGCGACACAACGTCTACTGACAAGCACATCACAGCCGTAGGACTCAGCTTGCACTACTGCAGAATGCATCCACGTGGGTTCGCTACTCACAGCCAGGTAATCATAAGAGCAACCGTTGCTGGACTCCAGCTCGAAATCGGAAAAAGAGAGTTGAATTTGGTTGCCCTGGCTGGCCCTAATGGTCCAGTAGCACTCGGTGTCAGGGTGGTAGGGCAGGGGGTAGTTAGGAGAGGACAGTGCTCCAGATGCAGTGGTCAGAACCCCTCCACAGCCTGGGAAGGAATGAAGCCGATTGGAGAGGACGATGAAATGTGAGATGGAGAAGAAAGTAGGCAACAGCTCAGTACTGATTCCAAGAAACCGACCTGCTAAATTCACACGCTTTATTCTTACATTGTCCTGTTTTCAAAAAGAGAAACAGGAAGTGCTACTGAGAGTATAACTGTGAATACGTATCATACTGGGCTGTAGGTTCACTGAATGTATACGTATAATGTAGAACGGTGTCCAGAAGACAACCTCCAGCTCAGGGCACACACCCAAACAGCTGAGTACTCTTCTTCCACTGGTCTGTTTCTTTTCTTTCTTCTTCTTTTTATACAAAAACAGAGGAAAAGGCCTTTTCTAGACATGAGTCTGCTGCAGAGACGGCCTTCTGTCAGTCAGACACAGGTCTTCGTACAGTAGCGCCAGGCCGTCCCATCACAGTGACGGAGAGTCAGCGGTCATACCGCTGAGCTGGACGTTAGCACACTAATGAGCAAAAGAGGAAATCTAACAAATAATTCACTGATCTAGTTTATTTAAGCTTTCTTTAGGACTGAAAGTCTGCCCATGTGTGACATGATCGACAGCAACAGGTCTGGACTCGGCGTGACAGCCAGCTGAAGGTGTGAAAGCAGCTGGTAGACTCCATGTGGTCCTCATCACTCCTGTCTCCATACGGGGAAAAATATTATAGTTCCATGTAATTAAGATCAAATCAAATCCACTGTACTGTCAAGCTGCTGTACATCCACAGCAGTACAGGCAGGATGAGAGCGTCTCTCCAGGATCCAGGAACATAAAACAATTTAAATAAATATAACATGTACATATCCACAAGTGTCTGTCTGGAGATGCTAACATGGATCCTACTGCTGTCTGACTCTGCAGGAATTTAAAAAGAAAACTCAGAGGAAAGACTTGTAAAACACAGCTGGAAGCAACAGATTACATTTCAGCTGTTTGGTCGACAACCTGGACAGCTTTCATTATGACTGAGTCTCGTTAAGCTGCCCTGCTCCAGACTCTGTAAGTTGTGTGTTTATCAGCAGCTCCGGTCCATGCAAGATGTGAAAATGGAGGCAAAGTCAATGAGAAAGTTGTTATGTGAAGCTGTGGATGTGTGCGGATCAGTGCTGGTGCTGGGACTGCGTTTCCCGTCCGGTCCTCCCCTACAGAGCCTAGAAAAAGTTCCCTTTTCATGGTTTTTCAACACGGAGTCATCGTCAGTGTCGGGCCTTTTCTGATGTCAGAATCTTTGCAGGTCATATTTGTGCTGTGCTGACAGTGATGCTTTAAAGAAATGTGTGTATAATGCGGATGCACACAGACGCTGATGGAGACTAAAGGCATTAAAGGCATTGAAGGCTCGCTATACTGGACTGTGTGCAGCGACTGGTCAACAAGCCTGATTTACATCCTGAAGCTGTGACACAGGAGCTGCTGCCTGATCGGGTTGGTGAGTGAGAACAACACATGTAGGAAATGGATGGGGGGCATTCCTGACAGCTTTACAGAATAATGTGTATGAAACAATGCTAATATATGAGAGCATACTTAATGACGTAGACACTTCTAGGACCTAAACTCTGACGTTAGAGGAGCTGTTCATTAAACAACTGCAGCATTTCCAGCAGTTTAGGGCAGTAAAGGAACAACTTGCAGGTCAGAAAACCTCTTACCGGTTTGTGTTCCGTCCCAGTGGGCAACAAATCCACGGAGTGGGACTCCAGCATCAGAGCGGAACCTAATCCACAAACGGTTGCTATGGGACGCCAGCACTGGAGGCTTCTGATTGGCACAGAACTTACCAATCAGGGGAGATGTTTCATAGCCGCCATCTCTGCTCAAAGACAGCAGAAGTTCAAACATCAGCGGTCTGGGTGAAGACAGGCTTACATCTTGTGTATCACACACCTCATAGCATCAGATTAGAGGGATCAATAAAGTTCTATCTAATCTAATCTAATCTAATGTCACAGTTTCAAACAGACACCAGGAAACTGCCAACAGGCTCAGCTGTGGCGGGCAGCCTTTAATCAGCTGTTCATTCCTCTTTTCATTCTAGAGGAAACGGTCATCCACCATCCATCCACCATCTATACAGCCTCATCCTCCCTCGGACCACAAAACAGAACCGGCTACGTCTGTCAGGACTCCTGCTGCTGTCTGCTGGACAGTTCTCCTGTCCTGCTCGTGGCTGAGTGCTGCCTGCAGGAGTGGAGACAGCTTCACATAATCCTCCACTTGCTGGTTCGGACCTCCAGTGTCGACTCTGCTGCCCACTCAGTAAAACCTGATCTAGCTCTTCTGCCTCCAGCTCCCTGACCAGCCTCCTGCCACAGCCCCACTCCACCCAGACCAGCTCCTCTGGCCTCCTGGATACAGCTGGACCCTGGACTCCTGCTCCAGGCGCTGGCTCCAGGTCCTGCTCTGCCCTGCCTGACCTGGATCCTGATTCTGACCTCCAGCCCCTGAATCCCTCCCGGACTCTGATGGCCCTGACCAGACCCTGAACCTCAGCAGCTAAGTGTTGCCAGTCCAGTTGTCTGCTGTGTCTTTGGGGCTTTTAGTTCAGCTTCAGGGTAATTCCCTTTAGGTTCTTGCCCTCCTTGAGTTATCTGGTTCTGTGTACTTGTTTCTTTAATTCTGTAATAAACCATTTAAAACTATGAGCTGGGTCTGCATCAAACTGGGTTCTCTGACTAGACGACGTCTTTTTTATACATCAGAACCGTCTGATTAAGAAGGCTTTAATGAGAAGTACTGATCTGATTTGTGTTGTATGCACACTATGTTCCAGTATGTGATCAGACTTTATTGATCAGATTCATACAGCGCTCTTCTAGACACCCAACGACGCTGAACACTGTCAGGTATTCATCCACACACATCCATCCTGGTGGTGGTAACTCTGGTTGTAGCCACAGCTGCCCTGGGGGGGGGGCAGACTGACAGAGGCCTGGCTGCCATCCTGCCCTCCGACCACCACCTCAACAGTCCATCCATACGCATCCACACCAGGCAGGTGGTGAAGTGTCAACGTGAAGGACACATCGACCATGACACAGGTTACAGGAATCGACCCGCCGACCTTCTGATCATTGACCGACCCACTTTCAAAAGACAGACAGATGTTACCACTTTAATTCTTTCCTCACCTGATTTCCACAAAGTCATAGCTGCAGGAAGGTGGGGAGCCCTCCAACTCAAACTCTGTGAAGTTCAGAAGAATCTGCATATTGACCTGTACTGTAATCTTGAAGATACAGTCTCTGCTGTTGGGGTAGTAGTTTGGGTAGTTGGGTGAACTGAAGGACCCTGTCGGGGAGGTGAAGGACTCGCCACAGTCTGATGAGAGAGAAAGGTAAAGAAATGACGTTGCATCAGTCATATGCTCCTGTTCTGTCCAAAACAGTACATTCTGTATGTGTCTCAACAACACCTAAGATCTGTCTCCACGGACCAGACGAAGTACACTGTTGAGTTTGAAGCAACGGCAGCCATTTTGGGTGATTTGGGGTTCTTTTGGGGTCCTTGGTGAGCTGGGCCGACACCATTCAGGACAACAACAGCACATTGCACAATGCCAACCAGTCAAAGTATGGGTTTCCCTGGAGAACAAGCTTCAGCTCAAAGAGCTCACCCACAACCACCTCAAGCATGGGATCATTTCAGAAAAAGACCAAAATGTGGCGCTCTGAAAATGCTGCAAACTGGAGATGGCTGATCACACCAGTACCGCTGCTGCTGTACAAGCTTCTGATGTGATCCTCCCACAGCGCTGGGTGGAGGCTCCAGCTTCACACGTCCCACTCAAGCACAATGTGGACCGACAGACGGCTCTGTGGTGTCGCTCAAAATCAATCTTGTAAATGTTTCTTCATTTCTGCATCACAGCGTACCGTTACAGCATCACCTGATGTCGTTATTAAAGCCTCTCGTATGTCTTCTTTAACGGCCATGTATGAGTGAGGCAGTGGCGAACAACATCCTATTTAAACATACTTCTTACTAACCAAATATCCGCTACGTTTCTTCAGAATGTACTGTAATACCTTTTGTAAGCTGTCCTAATGCCATCCTGAACATGGCCTTCTCAGCCAGATGTGACTATTTGTACAGGATGGTAAATCCTGCAGGAGAACCTGAGCATATGACGGATCTTTGGTGGCCCAAAATGATTGACAGTCTCTCATGTGCTCACCAAAACCTGAAAGAAGAACTATGTGAGCAATGTGTGTACCTGTGCTGGCGTCGATGGAGACGTAGGTGGCAGAGAAGCCCTCTTTGTTCAGACTTTTGTCGGACACGAACAGCAGGGTGAGCAGGTTGTCGCTGCTGGTGATGGACGGCGGCACCGAACGTCCACAGAACCTGCACACACAACAGAGGCAGTCGTCACAAGGACTCACACCAGGACTGTTTGCACACGATTATGACGTGGCTTTAACTGTACATAAATGAAACTGACATATCTTGTTTGTTGACCTTGGTAATGTTCCTAATGAGAGCTAGAACATGTTAGAAGGTGTTCAGACCCCTCTGTGGATCTCTGCCACTGTGATCAGATGCTCTGACTTACTTTAATAATAAATAATAGATTGCTCTTGAACTTGATCGCATATACTTCAGAAACCCTAACCCGATGACCAATCCATGCTCATCTGTGTTTATCAGAGCACCTATTTCCCTCCACATGTCAGAACAAACAACAGACGTGAATAAGCGCCTTCAACAAGCTCACACTCGTGTGTTCCTAATAAAGTGCTCGTGGATATTCTCTGGCAGCTCTACGCTCCTCCACGTCGTTGGTTTAACGCACCCACACTTGAACGGATTTCTGTTGTTCACCCTGGACATGGAATAATCTGCACAACGATCTAATGTGAGACATTCTGTACTTACTGATGGTTTCCAGCACATGGAGACGATGAACGTGGTTGTTTTTCTTCAGAGGGCACCACGTTACACAGCTCAGTGTTATATACATGTTAATACGCTGTGAGTGTGCACAGCTGCCAGCCTCACAGGGTTTGAAACAGGATTTCTGATCTCAGTGGGATTTTCTGGTATAACAAAGAACAACAGGAATCCCTCCTCTCTGTCTCTGTTACACCTACCTGCCGATTTTGTGTCCCGTCTGCACAGTGCCGTTGTCGTAGACCTCGAGGTAGTCAAGGTTACAGTTATCATGGTACTCCAGGTTGAAGGAGTCAAACGACAGCCGGATCAGGTGGCCGGGGACAACACTGATGTACCAAGTACAGTTGGCCCCGTGGGGGTAGCTGGTGGGGTGGCCAGGGCTGGTGATGGTGCCTGAAGGGCTGCTCAGAGTGTCCCCACAGCCTGGCACCAGGAAGACAACATCAGAGGTCAACACACATAGACAGGAGATTCTGTGTGTAAAGCTCTGCACTGGAGGAAGTGACTGAATGATAAAGATGTTCCATGCAGGATGTAGAGCTCAACTAGTGGCTGTCTGCAGCTTTGCTTGTATGCTCCACTTGAGTCACAACGTGTTCTTGTTAAACCAACTGGATGGTTTATTGTGCCATGTTTTTTGTTTTCACATCTTTTTCAGTGAAGCAGGCGTCCATGTTGTGGGGAGGCTCGTCCTGCCACTGAATGCATGTGAGTACAGGACAGTTTGGTTTGATGCTTTCCACAGGACACCTGAGCAAGAGGGAGGGGACCATTTCAAAGCTAGTTTGACATATCCAGGCTTTCTATGGCTGGCTTGACAGAACCTAAATCCCCAGTCAGAGACAGCGGGTATGACGACGGCGGTCATCAGCCTTCAGTGGAAACCTGGTTTCCTTCATCAGGCTAAAGGAGGCGTCTGACCGGACCTCTGGCTGATGCGTCCTTCAGAGCTGAGAGGACTTTACCATTTATAATCACAAGAAGTGAAACATGTCTGTGCGTTTTCCTCATTACCAGCTGAACGCCTGTATGTTCCCATGACAACGCACACAGTCTGCCTGCTGTAACTGTACAGTTTCACTTTGTGGCATCATGAGGTACAGCTGCACTGGTTTCCAGATATAACACCCGCCTTCAGCTGAGAGTCTGAATCCGCATCAGAGAAACTTCTTAGAGCTGGTGACCGGTCCAGCCAGCGCGCTGCTCTGAGCTCTACCTGGGTGGGTTAGACTGTTTCCTGTGTTACAGGAAACACCTGCACAGACCTGTGGTGAGAGAGCTCACATGTAATGAACAAGCTCCGTTTTATTCTCCCCTCCTCTTATTTCACTCATGTGGCTACTTCTAGCTTGGCGACCTCTGACACACACGTCGTGCTGGTTTTACATCATGGATCTAAACGACCACAGAACGCATTTTCAGGATTCTTGTTTATTTGATTTCTTGGGTTGTTTTTTGTTTTGTTTTGTTTCTTCTTGCACATCGGTGATGCTCTGCCATATTAAAATGTAAAACAGTGCAATGACTACCAATAGTCTGAAGAAAAAGAGAAAAGAACATGTCAACCAGGATCAAAAAAGCCAGAAATGTTCCTTCAAACAGACTAAAGCTGAAAGTGTATATTTCAGGATGGGACTGAGCGAGACAAGCAGTAAAACCAAATAAAAGGACACCTCTCACCGTAAGCCAACATACAGAACCACTGTTTCACATCATGTGCAGTGAACATACGAGACACTGTTCTGGAATGAAGGACTGCAGTCAGTGTGAAGTGTCTGACAAACACTGATACTGGTTCTCCTACCCTCTATGGCAGAGCCGTAGACTGCATCGAAGCCGTGGTTGCTGATCGAGGAGTCGGTCTTGAACTGGATGTACATAAATCTCTGAGTAGTCTGGAGCCTGGGGGGAATCTCAGCTCCACAAAACGTGCCCAGCAAAGGAGAGCTGGATGTGGAGCCATCCCTCACCTAGAAACAACATGAGACTGAATCCACCAAGGAATGGCTTCAAAGGAATGAATTCAGGGTTGTGGAATGGCCTGGTCAAGAACAAACAGCAAGTTTAAATGCATTTGAAATGTGGGTGATCAAGACAGCTCCTGAATATGTCAGGCTGTCTGCTTGTTGGATCTGAAGGGGTTCTGCACGTTAGCAATGTCAGTAAGCTGATGACACAGACTGCTGGACAATCATCCAAAACATCACAAGAAGTTGTTCTTCTGCAGGTAACTTCTGACTTACTCTCCCCATAAGCATGTTGTTGTTAAAACCAGCCCAGCGGTGTCATGTCACACTCTTTCCTGTTCATAGGCTGCAGTGTTTGTGGAGCAGAACATGGAACAGAACACGTAGCTGACATTTGTCCCAAACTAAATGTCTTCAGTTACTTCCCACCCTGGTTATACATGACTGAGGACAAGGACAGGTTATACTAAACATGAATATTAACTACATTAGACCCACACGGCCTCATCGTCATTATTTTTCACACATTGAAATAATTCTAACCAAAGGAAGAAGAAGACGACAAGAGGAACGAGAACAACAAGATGCAGTACGAACAGATTGATGGTGTAAATGACTTTACCTCAACAAAGTCATTCAGGCAGAGGGCTTCTTCAATGTCAAAGGACAGGAAGCTCAGCGTGACCACGTAGCCCTGTGGCTGGCTGATCACCCACTCACACACCTTGTTGTGGGGATAGGCGTCGGGGTGGTAAGGAGAGTGAAGCTGGCCAGTCCCAGACAAAGCGCCTCCACAAGCTGGGGACAGGAAGGGCAGGAGGTGGCTAATGAAATGTCATACACCCTGGACTGAGCTGAATCACACCTTCCCATGGATCTGTGATCAATGATGTCATTATGGTTCCCTGATTCTCCTCCTTTCTTGTCAAACAGCAGGATTTTGTGTGTGGAGTTATTTTTAAATAAAACTTCTCAGGACACTTTTCACCCTGATCCTCACATCAGTGACACTAGTGACTCCTAACATCTCCCACCATGTCCTCTGCACAGTGCATCCAGCTGTAGTTAGGGTTATGGTTAGTCAGTATGAGATTGTCTTAGTATGAAACTATCTGCCATCCATGTTAAGCTGGTGGAGGCCGTCCATGGCCTCACAACATCCCCTGGACCAACTGCACAAGTAGCCAAAGCTGGTCAGCAAACACCATGCAGGCTGTAACATCTGAGCAGCAGTAGCTCCCCCTGACCCACCCTCTTGTCCTAACCCTGGTTCTGTTTGGTTTCTTGTGCTGTCACAACATATTCATATAAAACATTTTAAAATACATTTCTACAGTAAAATATGTATTACTTTCCTTCCCCCTGACTCTGACTGGTAGGTCCGCTGGACAACTCTAGCCACAGCAAATGTGTAATAAGCAACTAAATCCACAACCTAACAGCAAACATCAAGGTCTCCAGTGCAGGAGAGAGAACTGTGGTGGTATATGGTAATGGCCTGCACGGACTGCAAAGTCTATTATCTATAAGCCTCAAAACAAAACAGAGTTTACGTTAGTAAGACATAATAAAGCCCAGTGACATCATCGGTCTGTTCTGCACGACTATGAAACTGTGATGGCCAGTAATGAGTGAGATGCTGGATCTGGTAACCTCAGAGACTTAGAGGCACTCCCAAGTATTACAGCTTATTCATTATCACCCTGAGAGAAACATGAAACCATTGTTAAACAAAAAAGTGTAATGTCCCCCATCAAGGCTAAGCATTACTGAACAAACAACACATAAATGTCACATAGATGTCTGACGTCTCACCCACGGTGTAGACCGCCCTGAAGCCAGCGTGAGCCACAGCGCTGTCAGACCTGAAGCGGATCCACAGATAGTTGGAGGATGAGAGCATCGGAGCTGGAAGGGAGCTCCCACAGTACTTCCCTATCAGAGGATCAGTCTCCAGACTGCCATCACGTACCTGGAGGTGGAGAAGGACAGACAAATGGAAATCAGTGTTTTTTTTCAAATAAATAAAAACAAGTTAGAGGTAATCTGAAGGATAGATGAACAGAGGAAAGAACCACTTACATTTGTATACAGTCATGGAAAACATTATTAGACCATCTTGTTTTCTTCAACCTCTTGTTCATTTTAACGTCTGGTACCACTAAAGGTCCATTTGGACACATATACTGATAACAACAAAACCAGCTGATTAGACTTTAACTTCAGAGCTGGTATCAGACATGTTCCAGGGTTTCTTGGTTCTAAGTTCTTCCACCAGCAGCTATGGCATTGTGCTGCCAGAACCAGAGCTGTTAGACGG